CCCATGTGGGTGGGGAAATAGAAAATGCCGGAATGTCACTGGTCACTGGAAATCAGTTTGGTGACTTCTCCAGAAGTTCAATATCCATCTATCTACCTGGTGTCCCCGCTGTTGGACTCCTGGGTATTTATCCAAGAGAAATGAAAACAAATGTCCATAAAAAGCTCTGAATAGAAATGTTATAATGAACCGCCAATTGGAAAGAGTCCAAATATTTATCTACAGGAAGACGGATAAAAGGCTGGGCTACATTTAGATAACGGGAGACTTTTCAGCATCGACAAAAACAGAATTAAAAAAAAAAAGGGATTCATTCAATAACATAGGTGAGTATCAAAAAGGTTTGCCGAGCCGGGCGTGGTCACACACGCCTGTCATCCCAGTGGCTTGGGAGGCTGAGGCAGGAGGATCATAAGTTTGAGGCCAGCCTCAGTAAGTTAGTGAGGTCCAAGGCAACTCAGGGAGATCCTGTCTCTAAATAAAATATAAAAAGGGCTGGGGACGTGGCTCAGGAGTTAAGTGCCCCTGGATTTGATCCCTGATGTAAAAGTAAGCTTTGCTGAATAAAAGAAATCTACCCTCAAAGTACAGTTTGCATGATCCTCTTTGCAGAAAAATTTAGAGGAGGCAAAATTCACCGAGGATGGAACAAAGCCAGGCAGTGCTTGCTTGTGAGGGGCAGGGGAGGAGGGTTTTCCTGGGAAGGAACATGAGCCAGAACTCCTAGGATGATCAGAAATGATCTGTCCTGACATGACTTTGTCAAAACAGACTGATTGGCACATTTGAGATCCGAGGATTTCACTGTCTATAAAATAGACCTTAACAACAAAAAGAGACGTACAGGTCATTCGTATTGATATTGCCACTGTTGGTTTATGTGCCCCAGGCACTGAGGTCTTCTCTTGAGAGTGCCACAGAGGCAGGACTGTCTCTCTTGCCCCTTCTTGGTTCCGTGGTGAGCAGCACCATGCCTGGCACATAATAGTTCCACAATAAACGTTTGTTGAATGAATTCTTAATTGATGAGGTAAAGGGGTATTTGAAGAGGAGCAGGAGTGAAAGAAAGTCCTGGCTTCAAAACAGCCGGGTTGGGAGAGACGCAGCCCTGGTACTTACGGCCTCCGGCATCTCTGCTCTGGTTTGCTGGACAACTGGGGCTTGGTTAACGCTCCTATCTATGTATTTACAAGACAGCCCAGAGGCTGCTCAGGATGAATTCAGCATCTCCGAGAAATCATTTGCTTTTAGGAAAGAAGTTATAAATATTCCCTGCCCGGCTCAACAGAATGGCTCCACTGGGTCCCCCAGAATCAGTCCTTAAAAGCATCACTTTACTTACACAGGAAAGCGCACCGGGGGAGGTGGGGATGGGGCCGGAGAAAGGAAGGGCACTGATGGGCAGGATGGAGGACAGACCGCGCCCAGCCCCAGGTGGGCTCAGACCCTGCACGCGCACCGTGTCCTTTATCTGTCCTGACGCTGCTTACAGGGGTCACTGTCCATGTTCCCAAGATGAGAACTGAGTCTTGGAGAAGCTGCAGAGAGAGGGGGCAGGACGTGCCCCACACAAGGTGGGGGGCTGGTTCCACTACTTTCTGGGCACTGGGGGTTGAACTCAGGGACCCTTGGCCACTGAGCCCCACCCCAGCCCTATTTTGTACTTTATTTAGAGACAGGGTCTCCCTGAGCTGCTTAGGGCCTCACTTTTGCAGAGGCTGGCCTTGAACTCGATCCTCCTGCCTCAGCCTCCCAAGGCATGGGGATGCCAGGCAGGGGGCACTGTGACTTCCCACGCCCTCCTCAGGGTTCCCGTTTACTCCAATGATGGAATCTTCGCTGCCACAACCCGAATCGAACCTATTTGGAGGTTTTCTGTGTCCATCACTGAAGAATCATGACAGGTCTCCTCCCTGATAAAAATGTTTTTTGTGACATCAACACTCTATAGATTTTTAACAGGGCGCCCGTGAGGTAGTTTCCGCTTTATTTTCCTCCACAGACATTTTCTGCTGACCGTCTATTTATGTCCATGTTTATTGTCTGTGTCCCCAGCTAGCACATTCCCCACTGAAAAGCAGCAGCGTCCCCTGCCTGTCCCCACCCGGTCCCTGTGGGAACAGCACCCGGGAGGCGTTAGGCACATACTGATTGCATGGAGACGTCTGGTGGCACCCGAAGAGAAGCTCGCAGAAACGCTCGCCCGGGTGCCAGGCCCAGGGAGGCCGTGTGCATCTGTCCCCGACACCCGCGATGGCTTTTCCCTGTGTGGTCACCGGTCACTTTTCCCAGTGACCACACAAGTGACAGTCACCACGGATGAGCTCAGCACCCTCACTGTGGGTAGCACGCGTCGTGAACTCAGTTGTGACCCCCCTGAAGTCCAGATGCTGGAGTCCGAGTCCCCACGGCTGCAGACTGCGAGGTACGCGTGGACAGGGCCTCCTGAAATGACTCCATGTAAAGGAGGCCCTTGGGTGGCCCTGGTCCAGCCTGACTAGCAGGAGGACACAGGGACACGCGGAGGGCCACTGGGGGTACGAGGACACGGAGGAGAGGCCCTGAGGGGACAGCAAGAGGGCACTGTCGGCCAGCCACGCAGAGGAGCCCCCAGGGAACCACGTGCCCAGCGCCCACCCTTCAGACCCTCAGACCCCAGAACAGACCCTGCGGCCCAGCCCCCAGGCCGCCGCATCCCCAGGGATCTCTGGTGAACTAATGGTCGTCCTCTGCTCCCTCCTGAAGACCAGGCGCCTAGGAACCTCTTCTCCAAGATGGGGAACTGCCCCACGAAGGCAGTGACCTCTCCAGGCACCAAGGCCCTGGGGGTCCCACCGTGGGAGCCTGGGGCCCTGGCACGAGCCACCCGTTCTCCACGCTGACCCGAGTGTCAGTGGGCGGGGCGCCAGGGCCTCTGACCATCCACAGATGGCTGCCCCCCATCCCCCCATGGTCCAGCTGTCTCCGACGAGCTGGGGCCTCCTGTGACTGGCAGGCTGGTGGCGGACAGTCCCCAGGGCACTGGCCTGTGATCCCATGGACAGGGGGACACACCAGCAACGGCGAAACACGTCCACCCCTGTCCCCGTGCACCCCCCCGTCCCCCCACGCCCTTCAGGACACGTGCTCCTACTGGCTGTCACGAGACCCCATGGAGGGGAGACGGTATAGAGGGACTCGGGAGAGGACGGCCACCTGCAGCCCAGGAGAGGGGCCGCCCGAACCTGTGCGCCAACGCCTTGATCTTGGAGGCGACCACCTGTGGTTGAGGCCACTCGCTCTGCCGTCCTCCCACAGTGGGGCTGCGGCCGGCCACATCAGCAGGGTCCTGGGGTGGAGTGCGTCTGGCAGGACGGGGCGTCCACGCGGGGGAATTTGGACAGAGGCGGCGCCGGCTGTCCAGACGCAGCAGCATGGCCCTCCCCAGGCCCCTCTGTGGTAAGGGACTCAGCAGTGCGCCTGTCCTCCAGGGCGCTGTAGAACTGCCGCAGACACCACAGGAACACAGAGAGGGCCAGCCACCACGGACAGCTTCAGGGTCACCAAGAGGTCGATGCTTGGACACAGGCACCGAGCCACACGGCCGGACCACGTGCTCCGGTGTGCTTCACGGTCTGCGTGAGCATCATGGGTGTGTGTGCAGGGTGTGCATCTGTGCAGCTGTGGGGACGGCGGGGGGTGGACGTTCTTCCGCTCGTGGGCAGGGACGGTGCGTGTCGGTGCCTGGGCTCACCACTGGATCATTTGCAGAGAGACAGACAAAGGAACGGAGCCGGCCAGCGGGGCAGGGGGAGGGAACCGAGAACAGCCTGGATTTCAGCTTGATGATCAGGGAAGACTTCCCGGAGGAGGGGGCACTTAAGCTCACGTGGCCAGGAGGGAGGAGGAGGAAGGCCACTGCAGGGGGACAGGAAGGGGAGACACTGGGGACACTGTGGGCCCGTCCCATTCTTTGGAGTCCTTATGTCCCCAGGTACACCCGAGAGCCCTCCGGAGTCCCCGGTGGCGTGGTCACAGAACAGAGAGGCCCGGATACCAAGGAAGACGGCTTTATTTTGTACAGACCAAGCACACGGGCGCCCGGGCCCCCAGCGGGAACTGCCTCCTGGGTCCTTCTCCCTCTCGGGGGTGGCTGTGTGGGCGGCTCCGGACCCGGGGCCCCGCGAGGCCTGGCCAGTCTCTGTCTCCAGGCGGCTGTGGAGCTGGGAGACTCCGAGGACGGCATCTCCAGAAGCTGGGGACAAACGCAGGTCAGAGCTGTGAGAGGTGACGGGGTGCAGGGGGGCTCGACGGGGGGCTGGCACTGTGTGTTCCAGGGGGTCACTGTAGAGCCTGCCCCGGGGTGGGGTGGAGAAGGAGCCGCAGAGGGATCAACTGGAGAGTTTTCTAAAGGACCTGCTCCAGACTGGCTCAAGATGAAGATCCACGGGTCTCCGGGAAGGCCTCCATCCCCAGCCAGATGCTAGTGGGGACGGGGAAACCCCAAGAGGCGGGCACCGTGTGTGGGGGAGGGTCCTCTGGTCCTTGGGGGGCTCTTGGCAGAGATTATGGTGAGAGGCTTTGCTATGTGTTCCCAGCAGGAAGTAATGTCTCGCCACAGGCCTCAAAAGCAACAGAGCCCACCCATCATGGACTGGAATCTGCAAACTGTGAGCCCAAACCAACCTTTTCTCTTTATAAGATGATTCGGTATTTGTTACAGTAACAGAAAGCTGACAAATACAGGACCACATTTCCAAGTGCAAGGTCACCTGGCAATTATGGCATCTGCTGGGTGCTAGGCTCTGTGCTAGGGGTCGCCTGTATTCTTGTTAAACCTTCAATGTCACTTGAAGTCATTAGCATTATTATCCCTATGTTTCCAGCCGAGGGCATGATGGCACCCCTTGCCCAAGGTCTTGTGACTAGGTGCAGGAAGAACTAAGACTGGGCTCCAGTTTGCTTCCAAAGTCCATCAGCCGTGGGGAGAGGGGCCACACGTGGAGGTCCAGTGTGGGAATCAAGGGCATTCTTAGGCAGGTGCTCTGCTCCTAGGGTGAGCACCTCTGGAGAAGCACCTTGCTTGGGGGAAGGAAGGGGACTCGGGATCTTACAAAACCATAAAAAACGGCAGAGACAAGATCTTCTTGGGCCATTTCTGCCAAGGACCATTCCCTGGATGGACGCGTGCCCTTTACTTGGCCTTTGAAATGGCTTCCTACGTCCCCAGGAGCATGATAATGTAAATGAGTCTCAGATCTTCACTTGGTAATTGGGAGCAGAGCGGAGGCCATGTGGAGTCAAATTAACTTGCTCTGATGGAGTGCAAGCGTGTCCCGCGGAGGGGGCAATGGCTTTTTGATGGGCCGAGGTGTGCAAACGGGCGGGGTGGCAGCTGGTGGGGGTCAGGGCAGCCTGGGGCAGGGTACACACGTGCTGTTGGAGCCCTGAAGTCCTGTGAATATCCTGAGCTTCGGGGACCGGGGGTGGCGGAGGCTGTGGCTCTAGGCCAGCTCCCAGCTCACGGATGCAGACACCTGGATGGCGCATCTAAGGGGCCATATTAGGCGCAGGAGAGGAGTCCACCCGGGTGATGGTGCAGCAGTGACCTAACCTCGCTGACCCTCGAATGTCCACCTGCCGCCCCCCTCCTTGGACTTCAGTGGCCCTCTATGTGATGCAGTAGTTGGGCTCTGCCCTTCCGGGGTGGGGACCAGTTGTCCCCAGGGATGGAGAGAGGGGGCCCTAGATCCTGCCCACCCCCAGGTGCAAAGAGTTCAATGACCTCAGCTGGGGAGCCTTGAAACCTCGGGCTCCTCCTTCAGGATCCCCCCACGGGACCCCCTGGCCTCCTGCTGCATCTGCATTTATCTTGCAAGGGGACCACAGGTGGCCCCTGCACAGGGCGTCTGCTTTGCAACCCGCAAGACATTATTTTGGCTAAAACTGCCACAATCCTGGGAGCGTGGGTCAGGGAATTAAAGGCAGAAACACCACGGGCTTTCTGCAAGGCTCACGGCGGCCCCCCGCGGCTCCACGCCCCACCTGCCGCCTTACCTGCAGGGCCCTACTTCTGGAGGTATTTCTTCATTATGCTCTCCACGTCCTCTTTCCTCTCTGCGCCTGGCTCTCTGTTCTCGGGGGACAGTTGTTCTCCACCGTCGCCCTCCAGTCGCGGGGCTCTCGGCCGACTCTTGATGCTGTCGGCACTTTTGAAGGACACAATGGAACTGGAGGAAGAAGACGAGTCGGAGAGGTGTGCGGGGTCCTCCTTGGACTCCGGGCTCTTTTTCAAAATGGTTTTGATGCCCGAGACAAAGGGGCGGTCAGCCTCTTCCATCTCAAGGTGGACACTCGAGTGCTT